TTAGCGTAACACACCCGCTTTAAGGACACTGACTGCTATTCAATCTATAACAGTGAAAAAAGTGTTTTGTTTTTAAATCCAAGCCATTGTGACACCAGATCTAATTGGTGGCACTGGTCACCGTATCCACTGTTAGCGTAACACACCCGCTTTTAGGACACTGACTGCTATTCAATCTATAACAGTGAAAAAAGTGGGTTTTTTTTTAAATAGAAGCTATTGTGACACCAGATCTAAGTGGTGGCACTGGTCACCGCATCCACTGTTAGCGTAACACACCCGCTTTAAGGACACTGACTGCTATTCAATCTATACAGTAAAAAAAGTTTTTTGTTTTTAAATCCAAACTATTGTGACACCAGATCTAATTAGTGGCACTTGTCAGCGTATCCACTGTTAGCGTAACACACCCGCTTTAAGGACACTGACTGCTATTCAATCTATAACAGTAAAAAAGTTTTTTGTTTTTAAATCCAAGCTATTGTGACACCAGATGTAATTGGTGGCACTGACTGGGGAAATGGGCACAGTATGCACTGTGAGCCTGACACAGAAGCTGGCAGCAGTGGCAGACAACCGACTGCTATTCAATCTATAACAGTGAAAAAAGTTTTTTGTTTTTAAATCCAAGCTATTGTGACACCAGATGTAATTGGTGGCACTGACTGGGGAAATGGGCACTGTGAGCCCGACACAGAAGCTGGCAGCAGTGGCAGACAACTAAGTGCATTTACATTACATAGAAAAAAAAAATCCAAAAAAAGCATACCCTTATCCCTAACCTAGCTATGCTTTTCCCTATCTTATGAACAGTAGCTACACTTTCCCTCCTCTTACTAAGCATGCAGCTTGAGAATGAATCTAAAATGGATGCTGTCCAGTAGGTGGGAGGGTCTGCTAGGGAGGCTGTGCTGCTAATTGGCTGGAATGTGTCTGCTGACTGTGAGGTACAGGGTCAAAGTTTACTCAATGATGACGAATAGGGGGCGGGTCGAACCGCGCATATGTTCGCCCGCCGTGGCGAACGCGAACATGCTATGTTTGCCGGGAACCGTTCGCCGGCGAACCGTTCGGTACATCACTAATTAAGAGGCATTTATCTTTGACAATTGGGGCTGGGTGTAGCAAGAATAGCATAGCTTCATGCGTTTTAGGTATGTGGATTCCTGTAATCAGGTGTATCAAGGATTTTATTTTTCGCCAGTAAGTTTGTATGTTGGGTCACATTCACCAGATGTGTCCCCGGGTGCCTTGAGTCTATACACATCTCTAGCACATGTCTGGTGAGTTGGGGAAGAAACGATTGATCCATGTTGGTGTATAATGCCAGCGTGCTATACGTTTGTAATTACCCTCATGAGTGTTGTTGCTTATGGTTGTTTTGAATATGTTAACAAAAATACGCATCTAGGCTTGCCGTGGCAAGGAAATGCTGAGTTCCTCTTCCCAGTGCTTGATAAAGTCTGGCAGGGGGGAGTCCAATGGTTCTGTTAGAGCTTATATAGATAAGATAGGTGTTTGGACGAGGTGGGCGGTAGATTCCAGCAACAATGATCGGTTCACTGTACGGGTTCTCGATTGTGCCAGAAAGGAAATTAAAGGTGGGGAGCTATCGTTTTGTAAAGGGGTGAACTTTATGGACCTGTCAACATAAATTACAAAGCCTCCGCTTCTTTTTGCTCTGTCATTTCTATGGCACGAATACCCATGTATTGCAATGGCAGAGTCAGGTAAATTTGCGGTTAGCCACGATTCAGAGAGCACAATGATTTTGGGCTTGTACTGTGAGCACCATGCTTGCAGAGCATCAATTTTAGATAGTAAGCTACAGATGTTACAGTGCAGAAAGGAGAGGCCTTTTTTAGCAGAGAAGCTGAGATTGAAATCTGTTGGCGGACGAGGGTTAGACCAGTGGTGTATCCTGGTTTTGTGCTGCCCTAGAGAGTATGAGTGAGAGAGTTACTGGCTGTGAGAGAGAGTGAGTGTGAGTGTTAGAGTGAGTGTGCTTGAGAGAGAGAGTGAGTGAGAGAGTTGGTGAGTGTGAGAGTGACTAAAAGAGTAAGAGAAAAAAAATATAAAGCAATAACAGTGAATAAAATGATAGAGTGCAACAACAACATCTGTTGTAACCACCTGAGTGGAACCCCTCAAACCACTCTAGCAATAACAAATATCAAATACATACAATGGTGGATCACACTTCTTAATACACCTAAAATGGAAACATAAAACCATATAGTGTAATACAGTTTATATTTAAATAAATCTGAAGGTTGTAGAGGTCATGTACTCACAAGCCTGGAGCCAAATATAATCATATGGCTCCCATGAGTGGTGCTGTGGAATTGTTGTATAGGACGTCCCTGTCCTTCTTCTTGTTGTGCTTGAAGTCTCAGGACTGGAGTTTAAAAAATTATATAAAAGTATATACTTCTAAAAAATATATTTTATTACATAAATAAAAAACAGTATATAAAAACACGAGGACTGCTCTTATACAAAGAAAAAAAAATGCAAGAAGCAAAGTCCAGAATAGCCAACTGGCTATCAAACTTCGTGGAACTGCACTAAAAAGTAAGTGCCAATACTAATATAAGTCCAAATGTCCATGGTAGAACCGATACGCGTTTCGCCCCATATGTGGGGCCTCCCCAGTTGGTGGTGGCGTGTGTGGGATCTTTGGCGTCTTTATATGCCGCTCATGCGTCTCAGTTCCTGGTTTCGATGTCGGCGTTTGGAACGCATAGTGCATTCCAAACGTCGTTAGCGTCATTTTCGGATCTCCGTTCTGGCGCTTCTATGACGTCACTGTCAGTGCGTTCCAAATGCCGACATCGAAACCCGGAAGTGAGCCGCATGAGCGAAATATATAAACGCCAAAGAGCCCACACACGCCACTACCGACTGAGGAAGCCCCACATACAGGGCAAAACGCGTATCGGTTCTACCACGGACATTTGGACTAATATAAACTGTATTACACTATATGGTTTTATGTTTCCATTTTTGGGGTATTAAGAAGTGTAATCCACCATTGTATGGAAGAGAGTGAGAGTTTGTGAGAGAGTGAGTGAGTTAGTACGTGAGAGAGTGAGAGTTAGTGAGTGAGAGAGTGAGTGTGAGTGAGAGAGTTAGTGAGTGAAAGTGAGACAGAAAGTTAGTGAGTGAGTGAGAGCGCGTTTTAGTGCGTAAGTGAGAGTGAGAGAGTTAGTGAGAGTTAGTGTCAGCTTCAGCATTAGATATCCCTCTCATACTGCAATCATACAATAGAAACTGCTCACAGAGCACTCTGCACTGTGTAAGTGGGAAATCCATCTGCTGATATCAGTGCTGTTGAACTGTTGTACCCCCTGACTTAGAGTTAGTGTTAGGGCTGGGGCGGGGTAGTGTCAATGCTGTTTTAGGGTTAGTTCAGGGTAGGTGTTTGTTAGAGTTTGAATAAGCATAGTATTAGGAGTAGAGTTATATAGGGTTATCACAGGGTTATCATTAACAACCAAAATGACAAAATGAATTTATATGCTATACATTTGAGGCATTTCAGAAACAGGACTGATACATGAATCTCTTTTGCCTCTTTGATTTTTTTTTTTTTAGATTTTTTTAGTGCACTTGATGAAAAAAAATTATGCACAAAACTGACATTTCCTTTTTCTTTTCAACATTTCACTCATACTTAATTTCGTGTTAGTTACAAATATAGGATATTAAAAGAAAGCAATTATTGTTCTATTGTTACAGTTTTGTTTTGGTTTTGTTTTGGTTGGACAATTAAATCCTTCCTTAAGGGATTAATACGAAACGACTGCTCCCCAACTCTTTTTTTTTTTTATACCCTCAAGATTGAACCACAGAAATGCTTATACGTGTAGGTGCAATGCTCTGGTGCTATACTTAGTAGAGAATATTGTAACCAGGTTAAAAACATTCAAACTGCCACACAACATCCTCCAGACTATGTGTGACTTGTATGAAATATATAGGATACGTCAAAAGTTATGTAAATTTTTTACCCATGCATTGCAACTCTGCTTGAGACCTGTCCTAAATAATAACTTACAACGCAAATATGTTGATCAGTGACTTAATGATTTTTCCACCTGGAGTATTTTTTTTTTTTATTTAGGAATAAAGAATAATAATGGTATGTTGATCCATTTACTCCCCTTAATATATTTAATGTATACTTTTAAGTATCTTTCTCTCACTTTCCTCTATAACCTTTTATACTAAGGGTTAATTAAAAAAGAAAAACACAAGATATAATCTTTAAATAATCTTACAGTTTTATGTTCTATACATGTAAATGTCAATACATTTTTCATCAGGTAGTCGCACATGTCAGTTTAAAATCAGCAATTATTATTTAGCAGGCAAATATATTTTTAAGGGGTTGCTTTCAGCTTATTACTAATAATGATGGTGTTAAGAATACCAAGACATAACAGATGATGCTAGCCTACAACAGTTGAATATATATATATATATATATATATATATATCTATATATATATAAAATTACAGTTGAATATATTATATTTAATTAGCATGTTCATGTTCTGTTTAACCACAATCATTAGCACTTAATGAATAATAATCTGTATCACTAGTATTAGAGTTTTTCATTTATTCACATCCCTGGGGAAAACTGAAACTGAAGTGAGAAAAACAAAATTAAGATTTTTAAACCCAGAAGTGTTACTTACTTTGGATGTATTTATATTAAAATATCGCAGATGTCCCATAGCATATGAGCCAAGGCTTAATGCTGGGAGAAGACTGGTTTATTTGGAGCCACACATGGCTTTTTATGCAAAAGCCCCAACATGGGGTTTCTAACATAAAAACAGGGAAATCCCTCACATGATCCTCTGTGCCTGAGAGATAATTATCGGAATACACATTGCTAATTATATTATCTCTCAGGGACAGAAAAATCTAACATTTCTTAGCCACCCCAAAAGTACCCTCAAAATACATGGAAACCCCACAAAAGTCACATCTCTGAATAGCCTGGATCTGTGCAAACAATATATCAAAAAATCACCCAGATCTGTTTTGTTGTTTTGGATCACCATCGCGGGAACGTTATGATAGGTCTGCCACGAGGTTGAAGGCCAAAATAGTTCCAGGGAAGTTGTGGTAAGAGCCGGTTTCCATTTGTGGGGTTGGTACGAAAACCACATAAGTTAGATGAAAGCTGATTCATGTAGAATGCCCCCCGTGTCCGGTAGTCTGTAATTCACGAACGCTGTTTGTGTAGGTGTAGTGGAACTGGAACGGGCAGCATGTCCATGGTGACAAAATCAGTTCCAGGCACTCGATGACCAAATTCGCTGCCAGCATTCAGGAGACAAAATGGCCGTCATCCATTATCCCGTCCACGTGCGTTTGCATGCACAAAATGGCGGCCACCCAGTGGAGCATTCTATTAGTTAGCTCCTTTGCGGTTTTCGTACAAGATACTCAATGTTCCATGTTCTAATGGGTCTCTGGGGTGGTCTTGGTTCGGGAAACGAACAAAATAAACAAAACAAAATTAAGTACGAATCCAGTTAGGCAAAAGGAGCCAACAGTGATGAGGTATTCCTTCACATATATAAACATATAGTTTATAAAAATACTTATAGTTATATATAGTTGTGGTTTCACATGTCAGAAAAGACTGATATACTGAGAAATATATCTAGATACTAAATTAAAACAGCATTCACAAATGTATTTAAAATGTCCATTTTTATTATCTTGTCCTCATTTTAGTCCTTTCTTGATGTTTTAATTAAAACAAATCTACATGTAATTTCAATTTTACATTTGTGTTTTTCTTTCTTATTTTTAGCTCATCCCATTGATTTATGTAACTTTCTTTATACTATATGGAGAGCCTCCTTCCTTTATAGTTTATTTCGGCTGCTGAATTACATGTTATCTTGTCTGGAAACCTGTGCTTTGGGCATGCAAGCCACAAGAAACTATGGTTCACATTCACTGATCATGTGACATATAGGGCTAATCAGGGTGAAGCCATAGGTCAGAGGAAATTAAGCAGAAAGGAGAAACAGGGCGACAGGGCCCCTGTGCACTTTGCATCTTGGTCTGCACATTCTGATAGTCTAATTGATTTCAAAAGACGGGTGAAAATATATTTACATTTCTTTTTAAATTGAATTTAATTGCTGATTTAATTTTTAATGGCTTTATTCCAGTAACTTAGTGGCACAAGTGACATATATAAAACTACTTTCTATGAAACTGCTCGTTATGTCTGTGGGTTATTTACTGAAGAGAGATTTGACGGGAATTCAACATGAATTCAAACTGAATTTCAAATGTAAAGCCAAACAGACAAATAAGAAAAAAAATCTCCAAGTCAGTATATGATTATAGCTTAACAATTTTGATGTAAAATTTAAAATTCACTTTGAATTCCCAACATTTCTCACTTTAGTTAATAAATCTGTCAGTGTAAAGGAGCTCATTATCTCAGTCAATAGGAATCTTCAGGACTGTGGCTACATGTAACTCAGTGGAGGTACTGTTTATTTTATTTATTCATACTAATAAAGCTAACTCTCCTTCTAGGCTAAATCACTGCTCATACCTGGGAGTACCAGGTATCAATGGATACCTGGGGCTACTCTTTGTCAGCTGGGGTCATTTTTAGTGGCCCCAGACCTTTTGATGAGCTAGATGCAGGCTGTAAGTCAGTGCTGCAAACAGCACTTTAATAGGCATTGATATCCCTTTAACAAGATCATGGTGTGAGCAGGGATAAATCCCTCCTGACACCATGAAAACCAGATATCAATGGATACCTAGGGCTTCCCTCTGTTAGCTGAGGGCATTTTTAGTGGCACCAGACATTTTGATTGGCTGCATGCAGTGCTGAAAGTCACCCCTTTAAATTAATAAAGAACACTGCAACTGAGCGATCAAGCTCTGCCCCAGTGATTTTCTCACTGGATCTAGTGATCGGGAGATCCCCAGAGTCTGAACAGACCCTGAATGGTCTTCCTCCAATGGCATTTCAATTATGGCTGGGCATTGTCAGTTGCCTTGCACTGATTGCAATGCTTTGGGCATACAATATTCAATGAAAAAGATAAAAAGCTGTTGTACTGAGAATAGCCAGTAGATCACAGCAACATACCACTCTGTTTTATCTTAGATTTCAATTTGCTAACATCAGTTAAAAAAAATGATAAGCTTAGAGTCATGTCTACAAATGCTCGCAGTTTAGGGAATAAGATCCATGAATTTGTGGCAACTGATAATGTAGATTTAGTCGCTGTTACTGAGACATGGTGTAATGAGAAAAATGACTGGGACATAGCAATGCCAGGGTACTCTTTATATAGAAAAGACAGGGAAGGCAAGAAAGGGGGACAGATAGCCCTGTATGTGAAGGAAAATGTAAAATCTAGCCTAACAAAAGTTAGTGAGGCGAACATAGAGTCCATTTGGGTTATGTTAGAATTTGGTAATCACGCAGTAACTTGTGTAGGTGTGATTTATAGGCCCCGAAGGACAAATAGAAGAGTTAGATAATTGTTAGGAAATAGTTGAGGAAATAGATAAAATGACAATGAAGGGGAAAGTTATCATCATGGGTGACTGTAAAACCAAAATAGCTGCTTGTGCCAGGAGCACACATATTCTAAACTTCCTACTGGGATTGTCTCTAAAACAAGTCGTTGAGGACCCAACTGGTAAAGAGGTCATAATAGATTTAGTGTTAACAAATGGATATTTGGTATGATATATTACTGTAGGTGAAAGTTTAGGATCCAGTGATCATCAGTCAGTATGGTTTAATATTAGAACAGTGACTTAGTCACACAACGCGAAAACAATAGTTTTAGACTTTAGGAAAACAGACTTTTCTAAAATTAGAATATGGGTAGAGGAGTCATTATCAGACTGGAGCATATTAAATGGAGTCCAAGATAAATGGGATTATTTAAAAGTTGCACTGCTGAAGGCAACAGAAAATTGCATTAGGCTTGTCAGTAAAAGCAAAAAATTCAAGAAACCACTGTGGTACTCCGCAGATGTGGCCAAAAATAGTTAAAAAAAAAACCAAAATGTTTGCATTTCGTAATTATAAAAGAACCCAGAGTGAGGAAGATAGACAGATCTATAAGATCCAAAGCACACACAGAAGAGAAAATTGCCCAGTCAGTAAAAAAGAGGGACAAAACATTTTTTAGATACATAAATGAGAAAAGGAAAGTAAAAGAAGGATTAGTTAGATTAAAAACAGAAGAAGGAAGGTATGTAGAAAAGGATAAAGTTCTAGCTGACTTGCCCAATTAATATTTTTGTTCAGTATTTACAGTTGAAAATAAAAGAAAGGGGCCTTAGTTAGGAAAAAGAGAAAAAATAGTCATGTGTTACATGTGAGTTTAAAGATGAAGAGGTTCTAACTGTCAAAAGTAAAGACAAATAAGTCAAAGAGACCTGATGGAATACAAGCAAAGTTATTAAAAGAGCTTAGTGGTGTACTAGCAAAACCATTAACATATTTATTTAACCAATCATTGTTAACAGTAGTCCCAGAAGATTGGACGTAAGCGGATGTTGTGCCCATTCACAAGAAACGTAGTAAGGAGGAGTCGGGCAACTATAGGCCAGTAGGCATTACTTCATCAGTGGGGAAAGTAATGGAAACTAAGTTAAAAGATATGATTGTTGAAAGAAGATTTCGCCTAAGGCACAGAAAAGTTTTTTTTACTGTAAGAACAATAAGGATGTGGAATTCTCTGCCTGAAGAAATGGTTTTATCATTGCCAATACAGATGTACAAACAGCTACTAGATGCATACTTGCAAAAACAGAATATTCAAGGATATAATCTTTCAATGTAGGTGCTTGATCCAAGGATATATCTGACTGCCATTCTGGGGTCAAGAAGGAATTTTTTTCATAGCTTGTTGCAAAATTGGAAGTGCTTCAAACTGGGTTTTTTTTGCCTTCTTTTGGATCAACAGCAAAAAACAAATGCGAGGAAGGCTGAACTTGGACGCAAGTCTCTTTTCAGCTATGTAACTATGTAACATCTAAAATCACATTTTCAAGATCAGAGACAACATGGGTTTACTTCAGGGAGATCATGCCAAACTAATCTTATTGATTTTGTTGATTGGGTAACTAAAATAATAGATCAGGGTGGTACAGTACACATTGCTTACCTAGATTTCAGTAAGGCTTTTGACACTGTTGCACATAGAAGGCTTGTCAATAAACTGCAATCTTTAAGTTTGGATTCCAATATTGTTGAATGCATAAGACAGTGGCTGAGTGACAGGCAACAAAGGGTTGTAGTCAATGGAGTATATTCAAAGCATGAGCTTGTCACGAGTGGGGTACCTCAGGGATCTGTACTTGGACCCATTCTCTTTAATATTTGTATTAGTGATATTGCAGAAGGTCTTGATGGTAAGGTATAGAATGTGACGGCAGATAAAAACCATTTGGCACATCTAGTCTGTCCAATTTTCTAAATATTTCCATTAGTCCCTGGCCTTATCTTATAGTTAGGATAGCCTTATGTCTATCCCACGCATGCTTAAACTCCTTTACTGTGTTAACCTCTACCACTTCAGCTGGAAGGCTCTTCCATGCATCCACTACCCTCTCAGTAAAGTAATACTTCCTGATATTATTTTTAAACCTTTGCCCCTCTAATTTAAGACACTGTCCTCTTGTTGTGGTAGTTTTTCTTCTTTTAAATATAGTCTCCTCCTTTACTAT